ATATAGTCTTTTATTTTCGTAAAAATAGAAACGATTATCAAAATCGGAATAAAAGAAATTATCAGGTAAATAGTTACATTTAATATACATGCATTTTAATAGGAGATACAACGCCAATTTCCCACTGGGATTTCGAAAATAACCTTACTTTACTTGCTTTAACAGTAATATTTTCTTTCGGAGCAGCTATTTACTTAATGAATTTGTTTATCGGTTTGCTAAGTGATGAAATAAGTAAAACTAACACGAAAGAATCGTATTTAATTCTAAGAGCTGAGGTATTATTTTATAAATTATTTTGCATTTATATGCATAATTTATTAAAAATTATATTAATTATATTAATTATATAGGTATTAGAAGAAATAGAGTTGTTATTTATGTTACCTCATCAACGAAGAAAAGAGGATTGGTTTCCATTTATTATGTATGTTATTTAACTATATGCAAAAACAAAACATATTCCTATTACTTATATACTTTTATATTAAAGTTTTTATGAATGTCATACAATTAAGCTCCGTGATCATGTAGTGAAGATTATAAATCATGACTGGTCAGGCTATAAAAAGCCTTACATTTCAAACAATCTTAATGAAGTTCTTTTACTTCCTGAGAAACAGCCTTCTCTTATACGAATTGCGGATGCTATTAAAGAGCTGAAATTATCGGAACGAGACATTCAAAAGGACATTAAAGAGCTGAAAGCATCAATAAATAAATAATATTTCGAATTTAAAGTAGAATAAAAATAGTTAGCTATAGCAATTTCAATATTTTAAAATTAATATTAAATACGTAAAATAGATAGTTATTTTTTGAACATTAGCCAAAATAAATAATGTTTAAAATAAAATATGTATATCAGTTAGACGATACTTTCTTGTTATTTAATGGATATCTGTGAATACGGGAAATTCCACAGGATAATAACTACCCCAGCGGGGAAGATTTTACAACGATTAACCCAGTGATGATCATCACTGATTGTCACCCTCCACATAATCACAAAATAATTTGATTGGCCAAAAAATGTAAACAAATATCAGGTGATATTAATATGCAAATTCACGTGATTAAATTGTAATTGGTTGGTTAGTGGTGCAAAACATTCATTTTTGATACACCTGCACCTACTTTTTTGATACACTTAAATGTGCCCTTACTTTTTTGAGATA